CCTTATATTTATCTATTCACCTATTAGCCACCTAAAATTTACTCAATGAATAATATGTGCCAGAAATTATTCAGTCACAGGGGAAATTTGGCAGTGAATAAACCAGACACCAATCTCTGCCTTCAAGGTGTTTGCCAAGGCTCAGAACAAGATGATGCCTACTTTGTGCAGGGCAGAGCAAGGAGGCCACAGTGTCAGCTGGAGAGGAGTGAGTGTTGGAGAGAATAATGGGAAAGAGAGTCACAGAACAGGACAGAGAGAAATTATAGAGGCCTTGTCGGCCAGGGTGGAAGTTCTGCTTTATTCCTGGCAGAAGAGAAACTATTGTGCAGTCTCAGAGAGAGGAGGAATACGATCTGACTTCCATTTTGCCAGGATCAGTCTGGCAGCTGAGTAGAAACTAGACGGAAGGAGTGGGGAGAGAACAAGGGATGAAGAAAAGACCCTTGTTCCATGGCTATCATGGTGATCCCAGGGAGGAGAACCAGGACTGGAAACAGGGTGCTGTCCTGGTGGTGACAAATGGTAGGATTCTGGAAACATTCTGGAGTGTCAAACAGTACAGCCCCTTAGGACAGCAGTAAGGCACTTTCTAAAAACATGAAAATGGATAAAACAAAACTGAACTAAACTTCCATTCACCGTACCATTCTTCAACTTCACTCCCAGGCACTTACCTCAGAGGAATGAAAACTTCACGTCACACAAAATCTTGTGTGGAATTATTCATCCCAGTGTTATTTGTGATAGTACTAAACTGAAAGGAAACAAAATTAAATCCCCTTCCAATAACTTTTATGGGTCTCAAAGGTATTATGCTGAGTGGGAAAAAAAGCCAATCTCAAAGTCACATATTGTCTTTTTCCCTTTATATATACATTGTGTGCCCTTCAATGACACGATTGAAATGGTGAAATTACAGAGATGGAAAACGTGTTGGCAGGGTAAGGGAGGCAGAGGAGGAAGGTCCGGCTCTAAGGGAGTGGCATGGCCCAAGGGAATGGTGGGGGAAGTTCTGTGTCTGGACTGCAGAGAAGGTTACCCCAATCCACATGTAGGTGACATGTAACTAATGGTCACTGGCACACCAGGGTCAGTTTCCTGGTTTTGACATTGTGCTATCTTTATGTGAGCTATAACCAAGAGAGGAATCTGGGTAAAGGATGGGGGACCCCTCTGTGCTATCTGTGCAACTTCCTGTGAATTTGTAATTCTTTCAAAATGAAAAGCACAACTAGCTGGGGTGGGGGGTGGGGGCAGGAGGATGCAGGGGATGGGGAGGGTTCTGAGAGGCAGGCAGAGTCCTGGCTATTCTTGGGGTCTTTTGTGTTCTTTGGCATTTGTGATTGTATTTGTGTCTCCTTTTGAATTCCTGTAGCTGTGTGAATCTTACAGTTCTTTAATGATAACAGAAGATGCTGATGAGGGCAAAAACTACATGGAGCCAACCGAATTTGCTGACAGCGCTGATGTGGGAGAAAGATCTAAAGATGACTCCAAGAGTTTCAGCCTGAGCTTCTGAAAGAATGGAGTTGTAATTACCACCAAAGGCGTGGTTGGGGAAATCTATCAGAATTCAGTCTTAGCTGTGATAAATCCTGAAGCCTCTTTGACACCTTTGGAAGTCATTGGTTGAAAATGGTATTCTGAGCTTTACACCTGGATGAGATTCTCAGGGAGTGAGCAAAGATAGAGAAGAGAATCTGTGACTAAGATTGGGACACTCCAACATTTAGAGATTAGGGAGATAAAGGGAAAACCAGAAAAGAAAACAAGATGAAATGTTCAGACTGATGGAAGGAAAACCAAGTGAGGGGGCCATGACAGGAAGATGGATACGATCTGCCTGAAATGCTGAAATGTCAACAAGATGAAGATGGAGATCTGACCATGGCCGTGGCAGTATTGGAGGGCACTGGAGACCTGGGTAGAGTTTTGAAGGTGAAAAGTGACCGGAGTGGAATCTGAGACAACTGCAAGAATGAAACAGAAAACACTGCTCCTGGTGGCTCTTGGCACCACTTTATTATAAAGGGAAGGAGGAGGACCCGTGCAGAAACCTGGAGATGTTAGTTTTTGCTTTTTTATGATGAAAGGGAAAGATCACATTTTGTTCTGATGGAAAGGCTCCAGTATGGAAGGAAGATTTGGTGCTGCAGGAGAGAGGAGAGAATAACTGCAGTGGTGTCCTGGATGAGGAAAGAAGGGATGGGACCCAGGATATGGGTGAAGCACAGGTGTCTTTCAGAAGACGTATAAGGGTGTGATGTGGGTGCGTGGGGCTGGGCAGGGAGGTGCAAGCTTGTGGAGCTCTGTATGAGCAGATTCTATCTTTCCGGTTCTCTCTGGCTGCATTCTGTCTCTCCAGTGAAAGAGAAAGCAAGGTCTCAGTGGTTGAGGGTGAGAATGGGTAGGTGCGGCTGGGAGCTAGCTCCAGGAGAAAGGAGGATACGTGTTTCAGTATGGTCTGAGGGCAGTAGAAAGCACCCAGTGGAGTGGGTGATGGGGAGAGCGGATGTGTGGTTTTTCAGGGCACCTTCCTTCGTATGCAGTGTGCTGAAGCAATGGGACCTCTCTACCCTCAGATCGCCACAGCTGTCATTGCAAGAATTGTGCTTTCCTGTTGAGCCAATAGCTAGGCAATGCAGGCAACTGCTGTGACCTTGAGTCTCTTTTAACCCCCTGAATTGAGAGGTTATTTAGAAATTGTGAGTGTGGGGAGGCAAAAGGTGAGGGAAGGGACATCTAATGAGAAGAGGTGTGGAAATCAGAAGCAGAACAGTCGTTTGTTTCATCATTTAAAGAACTTCGAAAGGGTTTCAAGTCATCAGCATGCAAATAATGATAGTTTAAGTTAAATGGAATAGTTTGGATATTTGTGTTATATTCATCCAAACAGTATTTATTGAGACTCTAGTACTGGGCCGGCCACCATATGTCAGGGATGAACTCTAGAAGGTGAGGGAGAAAAACGCAAGATGTGTGGTAAGTGCCCACTCTAAAGGGAGGTGGGCGTGGCTCAGAAAGATGCTCAGCTAGGAAGGCTGGACTTGAGATTTACAGGGCGAGTGAGGGAAGAGCAGGTGATGTGCGGTTTTCAGGGAGAAAAATGGTGAGGGCAAAGGTGACAGGTAGAAGGGAAGAGAAGCTGGGTGAAGAAGGCTGAAGGTTGGGAGCACATCATTCTTGCAGTTTTACTGTAAGATTAAATACCTCATGCTGCTGACATCTTCCTTCCTGTCAGTTAACTCTCAAAAAATTTGAAGGGTTATGATGCATTGCAAGATGAAAATTTTGACTGTAAGCAAACAAAGTGACATTGCAAGAACCTTCACTTGGTTGGTATGGAAAGAGTTTGAAAACTGCATCTCCTCCCTCACCTTCCTCCCAGCTCTGGAGGGCATCTCCTTGATACTTTCTTGTCCCCTCGGCAGGTGGATAACTCACCATGACATAAACATGCTACTTGGAAGCAATTATAAGGAGAACAGGTAGCCATTTGTGTCATAGACGGCCAATGTAATGAACTGCCTCTGTGTCATACCTGGAAGTATGCAAAGTGCTCTAGATTATGATGACATTACCTTAACTTATATTGACCACCTACTGTGTGCCAAGTAGTATGCTGTTTTATTGACCACCTACTATGTGCTAAGTACTAACTTTTCATGTTATTTCACTGCATACTTAACAACCACCTTTTGAGACTGGCCTCATTGTTATCTCTATAACACAGAACCCTGTATTATAGCACTGGGGTGTTCTTGTTTCGCACACCTGAAGAATGAAGTACACAGAAAGAGAGGGTGAAAATTCAGTGTGAGATTTATTAGAAGCAAGCAAGGAAAACCCCACAGCATGGGAGGTGTCCCCGAGAGGGTACCTATCTTTGGAGGCTCTCTGTCTAGGGACCTTGTATAAATTTTGATGAGGAACTAAACTTTCATTAGAGAATCACTCTTGATTGTTCTCTTTTTTGGACTAAGTTTAAAGCACACGATTTTGATTTTTCATTCCAATAAAGGGATGGTTTAATGCCCTTGTCAACCCAAGTTCATCCTGTACTTGTTCCTTAAAACAAAAGCTTGCATTCAAAAAAACTAACTGAGGTTGACTAATGTTAGAGTAGTCAAGAAAACATCATTTCTCATGTGGCCTTGCCTTTCTGGGGCAATAACAGAATGTATAGGTTCCCAAGAGTGAGTGGGGCCTTCCAGTCAGGCAGCCAAAAATACACAAACAAAAAACAAACGGTTTTAATCTGGGATGGTGGGATCCCATTCTCCAAGGTTCTCATTTTTATCTGCCTATAGATAATTCATCTCTTGCCTCATCTCTGTTTTACAGATGAGGAGACTGAAACACAAAAATTACTCGAATTGTTTAGGTCATGCTATTTAGGGCTGTCCCAGGACTTGGATTCTGGCTAAGTGACCCACTACAAAGCAGGAATCAGATGTCCTATTTGTGGGTGAGGAAATTTCCTTTGTATTTTTTTTTCTACCATATTATGAGCCATTTCTGTAAATCATTATCCTCTCTTTGCAAAAGTCCTGCCAAAGAGGTCAATGGGTAAAAGAAATGACACATTTCCAAAGATCTGCTTTCCTCTTTCAAGTTCTTTCTGGCCACTTCTTTTTCCTGTTGTGCAATCAACCCAACTCTTGGTCTGATGAGACAAGTCTGAACCCTCTTTCTATGGCTGGTCTTTGTTGATGTTCTAGAGATGAGATTAGGCTGAGAGCCCACTGGGAAGCTTTGGGTTCTGCTTGGCACTTAGTGTACCCTGGATGCTGGGTAAATGCTAATTACTGGTGATGATAACAAGGCATATAAAACCAGCTGTTCATGTTTCATGCTGTTCAGCTTCCCTCTTAGGGGAGGGGCCAGAGCAGCATGAAGCAGACAGGGTGGCCACTTCCCTGTTTAATGCAGGGCTCCTTGGGTGCTGTCTGTAGCTGTCCATTACAATTTGAATAATCCATTGTACTAAGAATAGAGGAACTAATTGAATTTCTACAGGGCTCCTAGGAGCTGCAGTAACTCACTTTAGGATGATACAGTTACCTGCAATTGTCTTGCTAGAAAATGAAGAACAATTTGGCAACTGTGATCCCCTGCCCTGAATCTGTTGTTCCTATTTTGTTTTTAACTCTTCGGAGTAAAATTCCTCTCCCTGGGCCTCCCAGCTCTGGATAAAAGTGGTGCAGACTCTAAGGAAGTGAGTATCTTCTCTGCCCTTCCTCTTGTTTTGTTTCAGGTGTTCTCTGACTTTTCACCTAACTTGGGGTTGAAGGGACCCCATTTCACATGGTTTCTGAGCCTGGGATAAATCTTCTGATATCTGGATTTTCTCCCTGCTGTAATTTCTGTTATCAAAAGCAGCAGGAAAGGCTTTACTTCTGAAACTAAGGGTAAGCTTAGAGATGAAGTGAACACATTTCTTGGTAAGTGTAAATACACAATATTTAAAATGCTCAATTTTAAAATAAAATGATACCAATCTAGGACTGTCTGGCTGATCTCTAAATATTTCAGAGTATGCTCTTTGAATGTTTAAGAGGCACAGCCTAAAAATAAGTGAGAAGATAGAGTTTGCGATCACATGTATCATTGAGTTCAACTCTCTTCCTCAGGGCCAGGCTGAGGTGAGAGGCTTCTTTTATAATCCATGCAAGAGTTCAGATAAGGAGCACCCTACTTTCCATGTTCCTATGAGGAATTATGCTCTAGAGACAGAGGCCTGTCCCTGGGTTTAGGGGTAGTTAGGTGGTCTTTTGGGTATTGGTGTCCTCCACAGATATTTGGGTTGAAGCCATGGGAAGTGACAGGCATGGTGACCTAGAGAATGACAGATAACATGTGGAGCATTCTAGGTGAGTGGGTGGAGGTGAGGATCCAGGATTCTTGTAACCTGTGATTGATAATTTCATGTTCATTTGGGTAGACTACGGGGCCCAGTAGTTTGGTCAAACATAAATTTAAATGTTACAGTGAAGGTATTTTTTAGATGAGATTGACATTTGTATTGGTTTTCTGTTACTGTAACAAATACCTGAGATAAATCAGATTAAAAAGAGGAAAGTTTATTTTGGCTCACAGTTTTAGACATTTCAGTCTGTGATCCATCAGGCCTGTTGCTTTTGGAGCCTGTGGTGAGGCAGCACATCATGGAAGGAGCACATTTTGGAGCAAAGCACTCACCTTGGTACATGCAAAGAATATAGGGAGGGGCTGGATTCCCATGATCACTTTTGAGGGCAATAATCTAAGGCCTTCCGCTAGATTCCACCTTTTAAAGGTTCCACCACTTCCTAATAGTTACTGGATGGGGACCAAGCCTTCAATATATGGGCTTTTGAGGACATTCTAAATCTAAATTATAGCAACATTTACATCAGCAGAATTAGAGTAAAGCAGATTGTCCTCCATAATACTGATGGGCCTCATCCAATTTATTGAAGGCTGTCAGAGAAAAAGACTCAGGTCCCCCCAAAGAGAAAGGTATTCTGCCTTAGACTGCCTGTAGACTACTTCTGACTTTTCAACCTCAAAAAAAAAAAAAAATCAGAGGGAGATTTTCTAAAAAATAATGGTATTTATTTGGGACTAGCAGAGTATTCCAATGGAATAGCAGAGCAATATATATATATATATATATCTGCTGTAGTAAACTCTGGGAACATTCAAGGAAGTTGAGGAAAGAGGAAATATGAAAGACAAAAATGAAGAGTTTTACATCTGCTGTTTGGCAACAATTATCTGGACCAAAATAATGAATAACAAGAGTGGCATTAGTTCAAGGTTGAACAGACAACTGTCCTATAGAAGGACTTTCTGTAAAAGGTCATAGTGGCCTCTGTGCAAGGTTGAGCTTCTGGCAGAGTCTTTTGTGACAGCTACTCTCAGGCAGTCGTGTATAAGATCCCTTCCTTTATAACCTCCTGGTTTAATTTATTTTTTGCTAGTGTCGACACAATGACTCCATTTTGATTCTGACAATTTTCACATTTTTTTTCACAGACTCAAGATCGCAACATTGACTACTGCTACAATTTCCAACCTACCAGACTGTAAAATTTGGACCTAGAAACTCCCACAATTACATGAGTTAATTACTTAAAAACAAAACAAAACAAAACAAAACAAAACAAAACAAAACTTCTATCTATACACATTCTATTGCTTCGGTCTCTTTGGGAAGGCCTAACTAAAACTGGACTCTGTTGGGACTTTAGCATGTGTTCTTGGGGTCACTGGAGGGAACTTTGCCTGGAACCATGGGCAGCTATGTGGATTCTAAGTGTGGCTGCTTCTTTCAGGATGGCCTCAAGTCCCCAGTTTGCTCAGATTGTCCTGTGGTTTGGACATATAGGTCAGTGGGTTGTGGTAGCTCATTCATCTTTGGATTCCAGTACTCACAGGTGACAGGTTGGCTGCTCATATTTGCATTTAGATGCTAGACGGTTTAATGGTCCTTTGGTAAAACCATGTTGCCTTGAATTTTATTTGACCTACTCTGAACATGTCACAATGTCCTGGTATCTTTGCTTTCTGTCTCAAGGATTAGTGGCTCTCTCAACACAACAAAAGACTGTCTAGTAGGTATCAGGGAAGGTGTGGCAGGAAAAATAGCACAGATCAAGATCCAAAAGCTTCCCTTTTGAGAGATGGGGTGCTATTGGAAATTGTAAGTTAAAAAGTTATCAGTTAAAAGAGAAGGTGCAAGAAGAGGGATGAAAGTTGCAAGTCTCAAGGACTAAGCCAGAAAGGAAGCAAGAGAAGAGCTTCCATGAACCAGACAGGAGTGTGATGTCAGGCACCATAGTTCACAGCCTCAGGCGTCCATCACTTACCCCATGGGTCAGTCTGAGCACAACAGGGGTCTGGAGTTTACATACCTGAGACCAAATGCTTTTCATTTTCCTTTCAGCGATTGTTTTCCTCTTTACTTTTTACAACTTTTTGTTGGGTCAACTTGTTTGCTTGTCTTTATGTTTTTGGCAGCAGTTTCGCCTGGCAACAAGTCTTCCTATATGTGAATGTAGCCCGATCATTTTGAGATTCTGGAGCATGTTTAAAAGCATTCCATGCTTTTAAAACCTCATAACCCTGAACTGAAAATGCAAACTCCCCAGAATCATGACAGATTTACATCAGGACATCCCGGGATATTTATGTCTGGCTTCAACTCAATTGCATGTCATTGCTACTGTACTCCATACAGAAATTGCAGTCTCGTGTTAAAGATTTGTTAGAATGATTCTTGTTTGTCCCTCCATCCTGGTTTATGATATGTAAATAAGAGGCACCAGGTCTTTCTTATATTTATACTTTAAATGTATCTAAACAAAGTTACGTGGATGATACCAAAGTGATCATCAGTGGCATAGAGAGGAAGAGATGTTGGGGCATCTAGGAAGTTATGGGGGTTAGAGAAGACACTAGAATAGATAAGTCTGTCTTCTCAGATCTATTTGAAGGGATGCTGCTAGGAAGCGACATAGACTGGTGAGGGATCTTTGCCTGCTTGGGGGGTGCAGGGTGAGTGATGAATGAGAAACTGGTGATGGGAAGAGCTGTGGCTGCTGTCTTCTCCACTGCTTCAGGAAGGGAACAGAGGCAGACAGGTTGGGCACAGATGACAAGCCCATTTCTATCAGACAATATTTCATCCAATTTTTTTTGACCTTTTTGCCTGAGTTGCACAATATATATTACATTTAACAGAGTCTGAATTATAAATGTGACACACTGTACATCCTTGTGCCAGATAACAAGTTAGTATGGTTCACTACCGGGGCTATCCTAGTTTTGATGTCTGAATCACAGGGCAGTTTGGCTAGTGGAAATGGACACCTAGTATCACTCCAAAGGGGCAGGCGTATAGAGGAGCGCCATTATGGAACACAAATCCAGTTTCAGGTTTGATCTAGAGACAAGTGGATGCTAGTACCTCCACAGATGGGAGCTACATATTACTCCCTTTTTTTTTTAATACATCCTTTAGTCTCAGGCATTTTGTTATAGGAGTGGAAAATTAACTAATACAGAGGACTTCTTAAGTTTTGTGCCCACCTTCTCTTGTGTCCTACCTTTGCCCTCATGCTAAAAGGTAACATCTAAGCCTGGAGTCTCTGGTCTTTAATTTTTAATCTCTTTGCTATGCCCATCCTATCCCCCTTCTACCTAACTAAGCAGTGGCTTTAACAGTGGATTTATTTGGTAAAACAACAAACACCTTTACTTTTATTTTTGGCTAGTAGGCTCATAAAGTGTGTTGGACTGGATATTGTCCTCATCTCCTGAGAAAGCTACTGCTTTACTGCCACTGCTAAATCCCTTTTCAGTTCAGGGTACATATGTTTGCTTTTTCAACCCTGCCAAATTTCGGATTGTGATTTTGGTCAACTTGTAAGTGAGGCCACAAGCAGAGAGTGTTACCTTTAGCCAAGTGATGTTTCCTTCCATCTCTGCTTGCAGATTCATTAATGCTAACCTTGAATAATTTTGCTAAAGGTGGCAAGAAGGAGCTATCAAACACTACTTTTCCCTACACTGCAGCCTCAGTCAGCAGGTCATCTGCCTTTTAAGATCAGAAGTGTTTTACTTTGAACCAAATGTTTTGCTACTGCAAAATAAAAGCCACCCGTTTTTTCAGTCTTCAGTACTCATGCCCTCTGTGCTCACTGTTTGATCACATCTGTGAAGCCATTGCAATATTTTTAAATTGTCATGTAGCTCTCCAATTTTAGGTACTAAATTCTGTATCAGATAGTAGTACATCTGGCTGCCTGTGACAGAGAAACTAAATCTGTTTAAACAAACAGAATATTTTCTCTCATTTAAAAAGTTAAAAAGGAGTTCTTAACCAGTTTTTGGCTAGTAGAGAGAATCCCCAAGTCCTCAGGGGCATGGGCCCCTTCATAATTTCAGCTCCACAACTCCCCAAAATGTCTTTATTCTCATGATCCACAAAAACTGCCAGGCATCACTACTATGTTCTGGGCAGGAGGATGGAGGAAGAGGGAAGAAACATGCTTCTGCCCTCTAAGGACACTCACAGATGTTGCACATAATACCTGTGCTTACCCCTAACTGGCCAGAAACTTAAGTAGTTGAGCATGCTGAGCTTCAGGAGAGGGGGTAAATTAAGGCCCTGATGCCCACAGCTCTGGGCTTAGCTGAACACTAGTGCTCAGTGACTGAGACAGTAGGGGA